CAACTGCAAAATATGTTGAAGAAGGAGAATGAAACTTTTAAAGAGTATGCCCAGCATTGGAGAGGAGTGGCTGCTCAAGTACAACCTCCTTTCTCTGAAAAAGAAATGGTCACAATGTTCATTGATACGCTCCAATCACCCTTTTATGATAGGATGATTGGAAACGTATCATCGAACTTCTCAGACCTAGTCGTTATTGGAGGAAGGGTTGAGATGGGTGTACGAACTGGTAAGATTGCTCACTCATCAACAGGATCAATGTACGCAAAGAAGCCATCAACAAATACAGATAAGAAGAATGCAAGAAATCAACATATTATGGAACTAGTAGAGGAAGTGAGGCAATTGAGGAATGATGTTGAAATACATGAAGAAAATCAAAGATTCTGGGCACATAACCTCGTGAATCGAGTTCAAAAAATCAAAGGAATGCTCAGTGATGCCTCGTACTTATTGCAAAGAGCTGAAGGAATGATAAACCCGCTGTCCACTCCCATAGAGATTCATGCGTTCCTTGAGTATTGTAGAGATATGATATCTCAGATGAAGAAGATGACTACTAGTGATAAATGATTTGTATTTTGCTTTAAGTTGTATGAGAAATATCATATATGTATTTTGTAGTGCTCCACTCTTCTAAACTTTTTGTACTTCACTTTATCTATTTAATGAAGAAGGTTGTTGATGTCTTTCTCTTTACTATTGTTTCACTCCTTCATTTTATGTAACTTCATGCTTATAGTATAAAGGAAGTTTGAAAATAAACGTTCGCGCACAAATTACATCTGAATCTCGTACTTAGAACGCGAGGTTCTAAAGAAAAAAAAAACAACACTAAAGGCGCTCATGCAAATTCTCGATTCCATGTTTTGCGAGACTTAGTACCTATGACGTGATGTTTTAGGGAATAGTTTTAGGGGATGATCACACACAAGCCAGGTGATTTATGGTGCTCTAACAATTTCCCATATACAAAAGCATAATAATTGCATTTTCATATTCATCACATACTCATCACAAAATCTTGCACAGTGCGTGAAAGTGAAAGGAAAAACAAGTATTGAGGCAAAGAAAATATCCCTACGACACCCTTATTGGACACGCGCCAAGACCAGGATCATGGAGGGAGTAGTGGAAGATTTGGAACAACAACATGACGAGTTGAGAGGAGATGTTAATCAGTTGAAAGAACAAATGAGTAAGATTTTGGACATGCTACAATCAATGGAGTCAAGAAGGGATACAAATGGGAATTCGTCTGAGCAACCTCATGTTACACCTGCTTACCCCCCTGGGTTCACTCCTCCACCACAGCCAAACCAAAATACTCAGGTCCAGTTCCCTCCATATGGGTTACCCCAAGGCTATACACCACCAGTGGCTGCAAACACTTCAGAAAATGATCATCACGCTTCCACCATGAACCCTCAAAACCAGATTCATAATACTCAAACTCTATTCCCTCCATATGGCTTGCCTCCGGGATATATGCCACCAGTGGCTAATAATAATGAGAATAATCCCATTACCTCTGTCTTAAACCCACCGAACCAAACACAACCCCAAGATCCAAACCTTGAAACAAGTGGACCACAAATTCCAACTCAACCTCACATCCAAACGCCTTATACCCATGTACATACACCACCGGTTGACACAACTCAAGTTGGAGGCCCGTCGATCCACCAAAGTGTCGTTCCCACATCAGTTATCATTACACACCCTAGCCAACTCGAGGATAACTCATCTAAAGACAAAATACAATTTTTGGAAGAAAGATTAAGGGCAATTGAGGGAGTTGATCATTATGGACTCAATGCTATTGATTTGTGTCTAGTTCCTGATGTTGTGATCCCTCCTAAATTCAAGATTCCTGAATTCGATAAATATAGAGGGGACACATGCCCAAAGAACCATCTCACCATGTATTGTCGAAAGATGGCCTCATGTGCTCACAATGATAAATTGTTGATCCATTTCTTTCAGGAAAGCCTTATAGGGGCTGCCTTGGGTTGGTACATGAACTTGGAGCGAGGACGAATACATACGTGGAAAGATTTGGCAGAAGCGTTCTTAAAGCAATACAAGTACAACATGGACATGGCCCCAGATCGCACGCAACTGCAAAATATGTTGAAGAAGGAGAATGAAACTTTTAAAGAGTATGCCCAGCGTTGGAGAGGAGTGGTTTCTCAAGTACAACCTCCTTTGTCTGAAAAAGAAATGGTCACAATGTTCATTGATACGCTCCAATCACCCTTTTATGATAGGATGATTGGAAACGTATCATCGAACTTCTCAGACCTAGTCGTTATTGGAGGAAGGGTTGAGATGGGTGTACGAACTGGTAAGATTGCTCACTCATCAACAGGATCAATGTACGCAAAGAAGCCATCAACAAATACAGATAAGAAGAGAGGAGGCGAAACAAATGCAGTAATGTCAACCTCTATCGGGTCCAATCGTGTCCCTTTTGCACCTAGTCATCGACCCCAATACATGCATAACCCAAAAGTGGCAGCTGTTTCTTTACCTCCATATCCACAACATTATCAATTTGGGATGGCCTATCGATTACCTGCACCACCATCGCAAGTCCCAATACCTCAACAAAATCAATCAAAAACTCTCTCTCCTAATGTGGATAACACTTAAAAGAAAGGAAACAATCAACAAAGGACATTGGTCCCAATCCCTATGACCTACACTGAACTGTTGCCACATTTGACTCGCAATGGTTTGATAGTGCCATTCCCCTTAAAGCCTATTCAACCACCATATCCAAAGGGTTATGATCCAAATGCCAAGTGTGATTATCATGTAGGGGGTGTTAGGCATTGTAGACCCCTAAAATTGTCCGGGTCGGAAA